GAAACAGGCCTGTTGATTGTAGCCACTGTTTCTTCAGGGGGTAAAACAGATCACAGAAGAGCCCTGATTCTTGCTTTTTCCTGACCATTTACTGTAAATATGCACAATCCTCCTGCTATCTTGCTGTCTCCCAACTGGCTGCTTCCGAGAACTCTCAGGAGAAGCCAGAAATGGGAACTGATGTTCGAGATATTAAATAACGATAGAGGATTTCAGCAGCAATCCAGCTGCTCACCTCAGGCTCCAGCCTGGGCAATCAGAGTCTTGAATGCTGCATCATCAGCCTCAGCTCTGCTCCCTGCCATGAGCTGAAAGGTGAGTGTGGCTGGTGGACACAAACCCCACAGTCCTGTGAATCGTGCAAGTACCTCTAAGGCAGAAACAGCATATCAGGCATCAGAAATACAGAGCCATCTCTGGATGTGTCCTGGGGAGATGGAGTGGGGCTTGCAGAGCTGAGAGGGGAGCGGATGCAAAAGGGTGGTCTGAAGCTGTGAACAGCGGTGACAGAGGGGGCTTGGCTGGGCTGGAATGCTGCAGGGAGCAAACAGGACATTTCTATACGTCCTCACTTCTGCCATCTCCAATTCCCACCTTAAGCAACTTTGTTCAGCTTTCCTCTGCCTCTCTGAAATGCTGGGTGCAGGCAGCAGGTTTATCTGTAGAGGAGGTTGTGCTGTCAAGTTTCTGCGTTGTCCCTCACCCAAGATGTTTCCTTCCATGGGGTTTGGTGCGTGTGGCACCAGAGAGAGGGTGTCCTGCAGTTCTGCAGTTCCCTGCTACCACACTGCAGGAGTTTCCTGCAGAAAAGGCAGCGCCCAACAGCGGCTGGTGACAGGCAGTCAGATCTGCTCTGCAGCCAGACCAACTCAGGGGCTCAGAGAAATCACAGGATCCCTGTGCTTGGAGATACTCTGTACTCCATGGAACAAAGTCCTGAGAAATCTGACCCAAACTGGATATAGTCCGAGCAGGACTACAGGCCACCAGATTGCCTCTCCCAACTGCAATTATTCTTCGATTCTGTGATTTCTTCTTGTGTAAGTGCAAACACCACTTTTACAAAAATGACCCAGAGTGAACGTGTCCAGGAGCGCTGGCTCTGTCCCTGCCCAGGGAGTGCACTGTGTCCTGAGAGCCAGGCAGCCCATGCTGCCTCAAAGGCACCTGAGCAGTGAGTCTGGTTTGGTTTCACTTATTCCCCTCCAGAACTTTGGACCTCCCAACGGGTCACTTCTCCTGCCTCCTGTGACCAGCCGAGGGAAGCACTGCTCCTGCCCATGTTTCCTGCATGCAGTGGAGGAGGCATGAAGAAAAGGCCCCTGCCTCCCTGATCTGGTAGTAGCAGGATGTGAAGTAACACATTTGTAGGGCTTTAGCTTGATTGTATTAAGTGTGCACATACCAATTTAGATGGTGACACAATCAATAAGGAGTGAGATCCCGGTCAGATGCAGAGGGGGGAGAGGAAAGTAGGCCCTCTGGCCTGGCTCAGGTGAAGTCCTTGCAGGTTGCAAGTCAAAAGCTAACAGTGCTGCATCAGTGCTTGCCTTGATACCACCTGCTAGTCAAATTAACTTGAGATGAAGCTTTCCTGGCAAGATCCACTGCCCATAAAACCCCATTGAGCAGCACAACACTACACTGCAGTCTCCCAGCCTGTGGTCCATGACTGCTGCCAGGCAAGGCTGTGCTGAGCTGGGCTGGTGGCTCAGGGCTGGTTGCTGGTGTGGTGCCTGTCTTTGTTACAGTCCTCTGGAAATTCTCAAGAAATAAACAAAAACTTACGGATGGGATCTTTGGCCAATTATTAACATTCTTGGGTTAAAATTGGTGTTGAAAATTCATGCTTAATCTTGCATTTTAGCATTTTCTCCTAGATTATTCATGAAGCAGAGAGCTTTGCCCTTACTGGTCTGTGAGAGTCAATACCAGCTTCTTTCCAAGCAGAACATTTTGACCGTTTTTTTTACCTTCAACAGTAGCCTGTAAGTTTTCTCATCTCCAGCTACACACAGATGTAAACCATTTTGAAGGTTTATATTGTTCATTATCTAGCCAGAAATGCCAATTCCTCTTCAAACCCTTTAGTACATCTTGTCCTGGAAAGGCAGTGATGGGTTCTGCTGGCCATTGTGAATAGGGTCACGTTCTGCTGTGACCCAGTTCCAATGCTGGTGCTTCAGTCTGCTGAGCTTCAGCAGAACCACACACCGGACATGTTTTTTTTCAGCACTAGTCACTACTGGACCTGAATCCCCCCAGAGGCCTTTGCAGGAGAGCAGGGCTGGTCAGGGAAGGGAGAGAAGAGCTACTGACAGCTCCAGGCTTGGTCGCCTGGAAACTCCTGCACCACACGCCCATCTCCCTGCAGGGGTCAGAAGTACATGGAGTAAGACACATCCACATATGACAGTGAACACTTCCTCATGAATACTGCTCTCTCCCAAACAGGCCTTTTACCTTTTTGATTCCTCGCTTACTTCTTGCTGGCTAAAGAGTGACAGAGAAGTTCATCCTGAGGCAGATGTGTCAGGAGAGGCTGCTTAAAATCTAGAATAACAGGTAAGGTGTTTACTAGGGGACCAAACAGTTGGGAGAGCACTCCAAGTCATTGAGGGCTGCAAGGGCAGGATGCTGCAGTTTGCCTTGAAATCAACAGAAGGTTTTGGAGAGGTATTTTGGAGCCATATCAACAGACAAATTAATACTGGGCTCCATTCATCCCACATTTCCATGGTGGACAAACAAGCTGTTATTTTTTTGCAACTATGGGCTCTATTGTAACAGTATTATCACAGTCTTTTCCTCATCTCTGCTGCCACACTCTTCTCAAGTAGATCTTGCAACAAATTCACTCCCAGTTAGCAAGTCCTCCAGACCCGCTAGGCTTTTGTGCTATGGATCTCAACAGATGGAGCAGTTGTTTTTTACTACCACACTGAAGCTGCAGGGCAGAAGCACAGCTGAAAGTGGCTGCCTGGTGTAACACAGGGTTTGTACATATCCTCCACACAGTAGTTAGAAAAACGTCTTGAAGGTAGAGAAGAGAAGCTAAATTCCCACTGGCTCAGGAAATATTTTATTCTTTATATTTTCATTAAAAAATAAACATAGGAAACAAAACCACAGAACACTTGTGTGATAGAAACAAACGCAGAAGGTCAGAGCATTGGCTGAAAGTGCATAATTAAGTCATGCTACCACATCCCTGGTCCCACCCTGTCCCCCAAGCAAGGAGTCAGCAGTAAGCTCAACGAGCCGCACTACACGGAGCCCAGGCACTGCAGCAGCCAAGCTGACGGCAGAGGAGAGCCCATGCTCCCAGAAACACAGCAAGGCAGGAGACATGCTGAGGAGAGAGTGCTCTAGTGAGCCAGTGATGAAGCTCTCACTTGGGGTTTGTGGGGCAGGCAAAGGATAGCTAGTGTAAGAGGATGTGGAGTCACGAGGCAGGGGAATAAACATCTGAGAGCAAAGGGCAAAATGGAATCCCGGATGTCACTCCAAAACAGCCCTGGAAGCAGAAAAATCCTAGATAAAAGGAAAATCGACACAATGAACTTGACTGAAAGACTGACGTGGGTGCACTGGACAGAGGTCTGTCCAGGGACAAACCCCAGTCGCTCACCATCAAGATCTGTAGGGATAGTAGCAATTGTAGCAAATTTCAGGGCCTCAGCCTCTGCAAGGTGACCACAGGGGTGGGAGCAAAGGCACTGCTGCATCACAGCAAGGCTCCTGCTGCTGGAAAATACAGTTCTTTGCAGCTGGGTCTGTCAAGCTTTTTGAGGGAAATATCACGTGATGAACCTTGCTGAGCACCCGTATCAGAGCACAAATGCTGCAGACCTGCTTCTCCACCAAGCAATGAGCTTTCCCCCCTGCCCTCTGCTGCCTCAGGCTTTTGGGTCTCAGTAGTTGATAGCTTTAATCTGTGACTCCTTCTGTGTGCAGACCTGAGGAACCAGCAGACACAATTACAGTGCAGGATCCCCTTACACACGCTCACTCAATCTGGCTCTGCACTCATGTGCGCTTGAGGAGCATCTTTAAACATTCAGTATGTACAAGATGATTTGAAGCTGGAACATAAGAGCAGCTGGATTCACCCTCACACATCCATGTGGCTGAGAGCAACCAGAGGACCTGTGTGGTCCTGCAGTGGCTGGAGACCACCCAGTTGTATGTACATGTCCTTGGAAGCATTCACCAGGCTGGCTGATGCCAAGGCTGGGGGCATCTCTGCTCTGCCGACAGACTTAGCCACAGGAACAGCAGAGAATGCAGCTTCTCCTGACCCACTTCACCACCTTTCTCCAGCTTCACACAGAGCCCCCGATTTCAAATGACTGTTGAGATAACACATTTATGCACATGCTCTAGTCAAAAGCAGCACAGAAAGCTGCTGTTCTGGTGCCTGTTTCCACAGCATCCACAACTCTCAAGAACAGTCACTGCAAATCACTTGGGACTCCTCCTCCAGCTGAGACTTTTTAGGATGTTCTTCTCTGTAAGTTCCCTCCAGATCACTTCTCCCGAAGGACGCAGACTCCAGCATCACAGCGCTGCATCCCCAGGGAGGTTACCACTTCCCAGTTGTCAATGATGGGATCATAGCACTCAATGCTGCTCAGCAGTGAGTTGCCATCATATCTGCAAGGACAGAAAAATACATGTGAGGGATGCCGCTGAAGGAAGAGGTTGAGGCATTCAGAACCTTCCTGGGAGGCTGGATAGCTGCGTACAGCAGGAGTGGCCTGAAGTGAAATCACTGCAGTAGGCTCCCTTTTGCTGTCTCCTGCTGCTCTCCTGCCTGTCTTGGCCCTGGACCATCACGCTGCCTGTTTAGCTTGGACACAGTGATTCTGTGGGCTGTCTCCTCTCATAAAGTTTGAAATATAAATGCAAGGAGAGGCCACCTGAAACAGGGCAGCAGGCTGTGTCACCTCAACTCACTTGTTCCAGCAAACACTCATGCAAGGCATCTCCCTTTCCAGCCCAGGGCAGCCTCTTACCCAGCGATTGCATACAGCCTTCCTCGCAGCACGGTGGCTCCCACATAGCAGCGGGGGGTTGTCATGCTTGTTACAGTTGTCCAGGAATCAGTGCGAATATTATAGGCTTCCACGGAGGAGAGATGTGCTGTCCCATCAAACCCACCAACTACATAAATATGGTCATTCAGCAGAGCCACTCCAGCCCCTGGAGAGAGAGAAGATGGCACAGTTACACCCATGAACGACACTGTCAGCACTGTGCCCAGGGCTCCTTGTTACAAGCCTGAACTAGGTCAGTTCCCACAAAAGAGCTGTTATAACCCAGCATCTTCTGTTGTTGTTGTCTCTAATACGATACATGAAAACTTGTAACTCTACCTAATACTGCTGAAACTCTGGCATAAGGGGGACTGAGCAACGCTGCAGCCAGGGCAGCACTAGCAACATGAGATGTTGACCTTGGCTGAAAGACACCCAGACCCACTGAACAGACCAGGACAAGGCTTGCTCTCCTAGCGGGTAGCTGTCTGGGACTCTGTCACCACAGAGACAGGTTTCTCTGGTGTTTCTGGCTCCATGGTATCACCCAGCCCCTGGCTGTTACAAGGAGACTGACACTGCTCCATGTAAAGCTGGAGGGGGGATTTCTTTGACATTGCTCCTCTAGAAGGCAGGGAAATGAAAACTGGTGTCCACTGAACAGTCACAGAGGCCTAAGTGGCCTAAGCATCTGTCTGAACAGCTGTTCTCACAGTAAAAGCAATCAATAGTACAGTTGGCCCAACAGCAGAAAATAAGCCTCCACCAGCCTCTGTTCCTCATCTGCAGCCCCTTTCAGGTAAAGCAACAAAGAACACAGTAAGGTAACAATGCACTTAGTGACCTTAGGTGCTCTTGCCAACAGCCGCTGCTGTTTTGAGCTACATCTCGAGAACAGAGCAAACCCTGTGAGGCTGTTACTGTCAACATGTAACTATTGTGCTGATGAGTATCCTGAAGAAAACAAGCCAGCTACCCTGCATCTCTTGGGCACCAATCTGTTTCTTCTACAAACAGGGTATAAAAAACTTTGTTCCACTGAATGCAACCTCACTATCACTGTCTGTACTTGCTGAGAGCACTAAAACAGCTGGGAATGGCCAGGCTGCCCCAGCGGGCTCTGGGATAGCTTCAGTGAGGAAGGCTTTGGCTGAGAAGAGAGACCAGACCAAGGCCTAATCAGGAAATTCAGGTCTAGGAATACAATATGGCCAAGGTTTCTGAGGGGTGGCCGACCTCCAGAATCTGTCCTAAGAGATGAAGAAAAACAAGGAGGAGACAATCTCTGTGAATAAAGGCAAGATTACTTTTAGTTCTGGTCTTTGAATTCAAAGACCCACACTCAGGCAGCTCTAGAAAGAGTGCCAAAGCTTTGGGGCAAAAGAAGTCCTACAGGGTCTGACGTCACCAGGACTGATACCAGGATGGAGATTGCAAGTGCAACTGGTATCTAAGCTGCTAATAGTTAGGGGTGTTAGTACCACAGAGTGGCAGCACAAAAACCTGAGCCAAAAAATGTTCTTGGGCACACCCCTGTTTCAGATCTCAGTGCTCCAGGTCACGCCACTGAGGAAGAAACGTGGCTGAACCAGTGCCAGAGTCAAGAGCCTCACTATGTACCTGCTTACTTGTGGCACTGAGCAGCCTGCTCTGCGGGCCAAGGCACTGCTACCAAAACCTTCCAAGTCTTGTGGGAAGCTAGCATGGACCTTGGAAACAGTTCTTATAAAAGGCTTTTCCCTTGAACTCTTTGGTTTTGGTCTTGCCTGAAGCCATCTTCTCTGGTGCACACAACAGACCCCTTGGGGAAAGCTCTCAAGCTTTCTAGAGATCCATGGATAGGTCTCGCATATTGCCTCTGATGTACGAAAACCCATAGATTTTGTCACGTGTTTCAATCTGGTCTTCCCGAATGTGGAAAGCGACCAACTTCTAAATCAAATCCATTCTTGGCAGATGGGAAATACTTTCCAACTCACACTTAACAGGAATAGCCCTGTCACAGGAGTAAATATTTAAAGCTTGGGGTTTTGGTGAATGCCACTGCAGGCACAAGAAAGCTTAAATGTTTTTAGAACAGAGACCACTTTTAATTGAGTAACCAGCACTTGTTCCTAAACAAGAACACTGCAGCAGAGAACAAACAGAAACAATTCTGTCTAGGCTAATTGTAAAGGACATTTATTGAAAGAACTAGAGAAAAAGCAACTTTAAAAGAGTTTTGAAAGAGGGCCTGTAAGCACAGCAAGACTATGCCACAGCTGTGGAGGCATTGCGCATCCTGCCCATCCACATGCAGCTGAACAAGGCCACAGCTGCTCACTAGCAAGGCTGTGAAGGACTGGGGCAGGTGGCCTGAGACGCAGTGCGATAGCAGAGGGCCAATGCTTGAGCACACAGGAGCTGCACCAGCCCCACAGGAAGTCCTCTGAGAAATGAAAGAGAGCCGAGAAAGAAAGTTATTCCAAAAGTAGGATTTAAACTATATTTTTCTCCTAGATACAGCTGCCAAACCTAAAGCTCAGATAGGATGCCAAGCAGAAAAGACAAACTAAGTTGTTTGGGGGATAATTAATGTGTCACTGCACCATGTTTCAAGTCATTAGCGTTAAGACTCTTGCAGTGTGACACTGCTCTGGCAGTGCTGCTCTCTGCATCACTGCTGGCCCAGGAGCTGAGGCCCAGCATTTCACAAAGCAGAGTGCAGGTGAAGGAGCAGCCTGCCAGAGCATTCCCCCTGCAAGGGCTTTCCTGCCTTTGCCGTGTCCTGTGCAGCTGACAAGCACTGGCTTCGCAAACTGGCTCATTACCTTGCACTATGGTCTGCAGTTTGTGCCTTGCTAGCTTTTCTCCAAGCCGTGCACTGTTCCTAGTTATGGAAGTCACACAGGACTTCCTCCCTGTAACCAATAAACCCAAACACATTCCACTATACACATCTTAGCATGGGATGGAGACATCAGGCATGTGAAAATTAATCTTTCTCTTGGGGAGTTAAGTCAGCATGTCCTAAAATCATCCCTTTTCAAAGCCAAGGCACCCACTGGGGCCAATCAACATCCTTCAGGGCAGCAGAACAAGCCAGCGGTCACTGCTTCCTCAGTGCAGCACAAACCATTTTGACCACACGGCACTGTGGGCTCTTACCTGAGCGCTTAGTGGCCATTGGGGTGACATTTGTCCAGTGTCCAGTGTGGGGATCGTACCTCTCTACAGAATTCAGTATGTTCAGCCCATCATAGCCACCTGAAATGAAATACAGGAGCAAACCATGGGCCTGACTTCTGGAAAACGTTTTCTGTGTAGAGAGCAATAACACACCCATCTCATCCTTAGCACAGCATTGCACTGCAGTCAGCACAACTCACAGCATGCCGGGACCGGCAGAACAAAGAGGATCTCTGCAGTTTGCAATGCCAGACCAGAGTCAGCTCAGAGCGAGCTCTGCCCCTGCACTGCACAGGGCTGTGCTGGGAGGGAGCATGACCTCTCCAAACCAGTACAACCAGGTTAGCATTGCACTGCTCAAAGCTGCCTCTGGGCATGCTGATGCCAATGTTGATGCTGTCCCACTAAAGCACATGTACAGCTTCCAGACCTGGCATTGGCTCAGGGTCTGTGTGCTGCAGCTGTCAGCTGACCCTAGGAGGCTACACAGAGTGTAGGCTGGGATGTCTCAAAGAGCTGTTTCACAGAGGATACCAAGAAATCTCATTGTGCAGCTTCAGCAAAGGAGCAGTGTGCTGGCATCTACCTCAGGGGACAGTGTGAGGAAGAGGGATTTGGGAGAGGGAAGTGAAATCCATAAACCAGTGTCCAATATCTGTGACTCCCCAGGAACAGGACTGTAACAAATGTGGTTACAGCGCTGGGCTTGTCTTTTCCGCGGCCCAGAAGGTGTATCTACAGAACAAGCTTACTGAAGTCTTGAGAGTGATTTGCCCTCTAGCACTCTCACCATATTCACAGCTGGCGTGGTCTCTGAAAATGAAAGGAGTGTTACAGAAGGGAGCTGGAAAACATATGGCTCAGGATACATTTCTGGAGCACTAGAGCCAACACTGCTTTGTGTGGAGCAGATGCACCCTCTGTCCTGTGGCTATCTGCTTCATCTCTAGAGCATTTTAGCCACTGCCCAGTCCATGCAAACCTCAGCTGGCACTGCTCATCCCCCACGCTTCAGCTGTCCCTCAAATGTTGGCTGATTGTGTCCAATTTGCTTCTGACAGCATTTTCTGTAGTCATATGGCAGCTCCAGTCTAAGCCACTGTGATGGTAACAGTGAAAACAGGCTGCATTCGCCGACAGAGCTGTGCAGTGCCCAGTGCAGTGAAGTTAAACCTTCTCTCCTAACCTGGACATAACTGGTGCTCCCCATAGACAGCACCTACGCTGTCATTTCTGTAAAAAGCAAGTATTTGTAGAACGCCTAGAGGTCCTAAGGGTACCTACCAAGGCAGTAGATAACTCCATTAGCTACGACAAGCCCTGCTCCTTCCCGTGCTGTCTGCATGTCTCCCAGCATACTCCACTGATCAATGTTTGGGTCGTATCGTTCCATACTGGTGTGACGTCGGCTTCCATCAAACCCACCGGAAACATAGATCATGTCTGCAATGTTAGACAGAGGTTGGACTCATCGAGTCAAGTATCAAGCATGCAGATGAAGCCAGAAGGCCCTCACAGATGGAGCAAAACTACAACATGGACTGCAAAATACAGGAACAACTACAGATCTTGGCATGTTCAAACCCAGCCTACTCACCTTAGCTCACTGCACTAGCCTGCTCACAGGCGCACAAACAAAACAACAAAACAAACACAAAACTCATCTGGCCCTTAAATCTGCTTCTTGCTGATGGATGAAAGAGAACGCCCGCCCCCAGTTATTTTTTTTCATGCTGCAGAACCTACTGAAACACTGCCATGCCCAAACCCTGCCTATCACTAGCATCATGTAAACATTTACTTTGGGGAGGTGCTGATAAGGTAGTAAACACACAGGTAGCTAAAGGAAAGAAGATACAAAAGTAATGTCTGGACCACCAAGATCAGTCCCTTAAACTGGAGAATCTAATTCATGCAAAGCTTTCACAAATCTGTCATCTTCAAAGCAGCTGCATTTTTAACAGAATTTTCACTACAACAGGTTATTAACAATCTAAATGAATAACATTTAACCAATATTAATTATTAAGATGATATTCTAATGTAAGTATTAAAGCACAGACTATTCATTACAATGACTGCTATTTTAGTGGCTAGAAAACTTCTCATTTCCACACCAACTTCTTGGCCTGTTTATAACCATTTGTTCTTATTAAATTCTTATATTGCCCATTTCCTTCTCATGCCAAATTGTACTTGTAGAAAACAATCATATCCTCTCTTGGCCTTTTCTTTGTCAGCATAAACAAGTTGAAGTGTTCTGGGTTGCTCAGTAGTTTTCTTCATCCAAGTCTGTCCTAAGAATCCTTCTCTGCACATGATTCAGTTTCAGTCCCTCTCCAGGGCTGGATAGTTGTACTTGGCGTCCTGTGCTAAGTAATATGCAACACTGTCACCGCCCCGAGAGCTTCCCACTCCATAATCCCTCATAGAGTTCCTTTCCCTTGATGCACAGACACATCCACGAAGAATGAAGCGGAGGCAGAGCTCCTCTGAGGTTATGTGGATAAGTTTTCCATTTCTACATCCAAATGATAGAAGGCAGAATTTCAGACTCACCTCCTCCCTCGGAGCCATCCCACTCTGCACATACCAGCTCAGGGCATTTCAGGATGAGAACTGAGCAGACTGTACTGCCCTGTCAGTGCAGTGACCAGGACATACCTCCAAGGGTTGTGGCTCCTGCCAGGCCTCGCCGTACATTCATTGGAGCCACAGAGTACCAGATACCATCCTCATCTGATGTATAATCCAAGCACTCCACCGAGCTGAGACGAGAGCGACCATCATACCCCCCAATCACATAGATCCGATCATGCAGGGACACTGTAGCAACGTAGCGCCTCTTACGGGTAATGCTCTAAAACAGTATAAAGAACAAAAAGGTCAAGGAGGGGAAATAACACTGATGCACGGAGACCAACCAGTGTTCTTCCATCCTCTTTTGCTGCTACTTTGGAAAATGGCCCACTACCACAGAGGCAAACACCACTATGAATTTAAAAGATACAGCCAGTTGTTAACAACTGCGTCTGCCTTCCTCTACCTGTACTCTGTCTCTGCCATGCTCTCTTCTCATGGCCAGGTCTCTCTGCACTAAAATTTTTTGCATTAAATGCCATTTATCTTAAGCTGCTACTGAACCTTTCATGAATCTCAGAGGTTTGTGTGCCTCCCACTGGCTCCCTGCAGAGATCGTTAATGGGAAAATGTAGAGACTTGGAATATTTGATGAAAATACCTGAAGCTTTTAGCCTTCAAAAAAGAAGAAAATTCTGGGACCCAGGTGATCCTGGGTCTTCTGTGATTACCAATATTAAAGAAGAGGCAGTTCTCCACCATTTCACATAGATAAAGGTGATTTTCAATTTGGGTAGAAAGTCCTCAGTGCAGGAATTCTCTCTTCCTTACTATCTCCCATTATGCTCAAGAAACAATGAAACCAGAGATATCATGCAGGCTGCCTGAAAGCAGGACTGATTATACTATTCCTATTGACATTTCAACTATCATCACTAACCTTAAAGCTTAACAGCCCTTCAGTAAGAAACATGATAGCTCTCACTCCCACAACAAAGATGCGGGTCTCTGTAGGCTCATCTGATTAGAAATATGACAATCACCACTTATAGAAAGCTTACTTAGCAAATCTGCAAACGTGAAGTGGTTTCAGCATTCACTACATAAACCTCAGCAACTCTAAAGAATTTCTGTCAGAAAGTCTAAGCAGAACGCAAAGCATAGCCCGAAGAGGAATGTTATATAGCTGATCCTACAGGATCACTGTGTGGCCACAGCCCATTCAACCCAGTCAAAAACGGTCAAAAAAAGGGGTCAAAAATGGTCCCTTACTGGCAAGAAACTCCACTCCTGAGTCTTTGGGTCATATTTCTCCACAACATCAATAGGTGACTGCTGGCTGCCAAAGCCCCCGATCACAAGCAGGACTTCATTAGCTCCTAGAGCAAAGAGGGAAAGCAAAGTCAAGTCAATTCCTTCACAACCAAAAGGTCACCTCAAAAGAACCACCTGAAGAAATACTGAGCCTTCCTTGGTGCAACAAGCTGCCTCTAAATCCCTGTTTTCATCACTACTCTGAAGCAGACACCTAACCCGGCTACAGGCACTTGGACTCCCCTTATCCTCAGCAGGGCAGGGAGAGAAAATCTTCCGGGGTGCGCAGCAGTAAGACTAACTCAGGTGTTAGAAGCCGGACGGCTGTTCCTCCTAATACTAGAGGCACTTTGAGAAGACAAGCTGGCTAAGTTAGGTGCTGAAGTTGGCTCGTTTGTATTTTCTTTTCTATTCTTTCCACAATTTTCTCCCAAGACTCTTACCACCACATGAAAACTGAAGGAGGATGGCTCCTTCCCTGCAGCCTCCTCACTAAACAAGGCCTTCTCCCCTCATTTGCAAGTGACATCCAGACCAGATAGCACCTTTGTTCACCCCTTCACTGAGAAACAAGTCAGGCTGACTGAAGCCTGAAAAATTAATGAAATATTTTCCCAGGAATTGTCTCTTAGGTCTATGTATTTTATCTCAAAATTGCCTTCCCTCTACTGTCTTTTCTCTGAGATGATCCCTGAAGTTTTCTTATTTTCTCGGCGACTGTTAAATAACGCTTGTGACCTGGAGAGTTTTAACTTCCCTTGTAATGATTGCCTCAAAGGTAGGCTTCTATCATAGTTTTAAAAATAGTTAAGCATCCCCTGGATCCCTTATGCTCTTTCTGCAACGGGGAGTTTTACTAGAGTTTAGAAGTGTCCAGCTTTTCGTTGCAGAAGGACTGAACACCAAGCAACAAAAATTTAACAAGACCCTCTCTGTCACACAGCAAAATAGCTGCCACCTCACATGAAGAATAATATAAAAATATAACTGAGAAGGATTCACAAAAGAGCTCCAACAACAACTTGGAAAGCTTCCTATCCAGTATAACATCTAAAAGTGCACTCATTTCCATTTATCCTATAGAAAGTTAATACACAACTTGATCACAGTTTATGAGTGACACATGATACAAGCATTGCTGATAGCAGATGGTATTGAATCAATTAAAAAAAGGTAGGGCTGAATCCAGAAGATAAATCTTAGCAATAAAGCGCACAGTTTTAACCTGTAGAATTAAACAATAAAACAGTTTTGTGATGTCTCCTTTATCAGGTGAAGCATTTCAACCATGAACAAAATGAAACGTGTCATTCTAAACTGACAGGGTGAGCTGAACTACATGTCATTGCAATCAATGTCGGATGTTCCCACAAAAACAGGAGGCATGCTGTGTGGCCTGGACTATGCTGGAGGTCAAACCACATCATAACAACATTCCCTTCAGGCCAAAAAAGTTTAATCAGTGTGTCTCTCTGACAAATCTAATTTGCCCTCCTCCTTTAGTGGTTAAACTGCTTTCTGTCTCCTAAAACAGTGTTAATAACTGCAAATGGCCACAAGAGGTTTTTCAGGGTCCTTCTCCACTGCACAAGAAGCAGCAACACTGGAGAACATGCAGGGAGGTTTGCTTGCAGGAAGAGTGGTCAATGCTGGCACAGATGGCAGTGCCCTGTGAGTGTGCCTGGGATAAAGGCGTGGCAGAGACAGTCCTGAGAGCAAGCCTGAAGATAAGAGAAGAGGCATCAGGTGAGGAATGGCCACACTCATAAAGAAGCCAGTAAAATACTTTTCCTTCTTCTATAGGTCATTCCTACTGTTTATGTTGCTCTCAGGTGCTTACACCCCTAAGCCAAGCATTTTCCCAACAATTCAGTGACTGCGCTTGGGAGGAGCTACTGAAATAGAGGAAGAAATCATCATTTATTTTCTTTAACAAGACTTGGGGCGGGGGGGGGCGGTACTTCAGGGAAGTACCTCTGAACAGAAAGAGGAACCGCTCCATCTCCCTCCTTGTGCCTTCCCCTCTCAGATTCCCTGTTGAAAACTTATCTTCACTGTAACGCAGCTGTCTCTCACCTCACAGCTCTTTTTGTTTCTGACACCGATACCTGCCTTTTTAGACAGGAAGAAACTTTTCCCACACTTCTTGGAGAGATGCATACTGAGACAAACATATCTGGAGGCACCAACAACGCAAGAAACTGGTTTTATGGTTACAGCAGAGGCCTGGGATTAAAGGCAACCAACTAGTCCCCACATTGCTACTAAGCAACTGAGCTCTGAAAAAAAGGTACCCCTGTCCTTTGCTCCAGTCCCCTTTCTGTACCACTGGGGACAGTGGATTGCAAAGTAACTGCTGTGAAGCACCTCAGCACAATTACAAGGCACTAGGCATGGTGTATATAATACTCGCCGATGCCCCAGACATTCTCAGTGTCCTTTCCTTTGCTGCTCACCTAGACGTGCTCTTGTCCTGGGTCCTTGCATCTGACTCCGGAGCTCGGGACGAAGATGAAATTTCTTAGCTTCATCTACGAGGTCTCTGCACTGCAGACTGCATCGTATAAAAGGCTGAGGAAAAACATGAGTCACTGCTACATGCAATGTATTTTAAGATCCCTCATAAGAGCTGTCCTAAAGCCAACTCTGTCAGTTCAGACAGTGTCAAAACATGTCATGGTGCAAATACTGCACGCAAGGAAATGCAAAGACAACTTAAGACTGGACTGCAGCTAACAAGATATGGCTCAGTTCTTGCACAAAGTCTGGCACTGCAGGTTCCATAATGAAAATAACTACATTGGAAAACTAAGGAAAAGCCACCTCTGCTACATTTAAGCCAGCAGAAGTATGTCTTGAGAAGGGGAACTGGCAGTGAAACTCTGATTGAAATCAGTTTGGCTGTATCTGCTCCACATATTCAACTCTCAGCATGCATCTGCCATCAAAGAAGAAACAAAGAGCACAGCACAATGAAGCAGTTTAGCTGGATCTATTAGCTTGATCCCTGTGCACATGGAACATGGAGCTATAAAGAGGCAGCAGAAGCAGTAAGGTCTTCTTTAAAAGAAGTGAGGGCACTGCGGCCTGACGACAGTCTCATCTCCTCCTTAACGCCGTGTAATTCCCCTCCCTGGCTGAGGGCCTGGACCAACCTCCCTTGAATGTTCAGCATGCAGTTCCCTTTGGGCATTTGGTGCTATATGCTGCTGCATTACATTATGATTTATTTTTACAAGTTCTTGGTGCTTGTGAAAGAAGGCCAGGGTGTTCAGAGCAGATGATGCCACACAGGGCCAACATTCAACTCTCCATGTTGCCCTGAGATGATGATGTCCCACCAGTGTGTGTTACTTCTGGACCGGAGAGGCCGTCCTGTGCAGTAAGAAAGCTGAGACCCTCTGTACACACTATCTTGGGCTGGTTTTGGAACAGATCTAACTCTTTTGGTACCAGTCCCTTACATGTTAAATTAAATTCCAGTTTAAAGTGGACCACAACAATCTGATGTTTTAGCTCTGGCACCACATAACTGCCTGTTAGATGCCCTTATTTAAGAACATCCATATAAGGCAGCTATATCACACGAGATGAACGTTGCTCTACGTAGAGAAGTCTGTCGTTCAACATTCAGCACCTGTCAGGTGACAAGGGCTAGTAACTACCTCACATCACCATCAAACCAGAATGCTGGTTTGAACTTCCCTGTGCCTTCCTGTCAAACCTGGCATGGGGTCAGCATCACTTCCTGTTTGGAATTAAACTTCCAGTGCAAAAGCTTAATTATCTCTTATCATCATCCACATTTTGGTTTGCCTCTGCAACACCCCAGCCATACAAAGAAGCAGTACTAGATATGGCTCTTAGCTGTGTGTTGGCCCTGGACCTACACAGCTGCTGTCCTTCTCATTCAAAGGTACATGCTTGCCAGCTGCACCTCAAACAACTTCTGAGGGGCCGTTTCCTCCCTACATGCCAGCAGCCTCGAACCTAGAGAAGGAGACGTGCTAGCGCTTATGAATGAAAGGCAGAAAGCACTGGTTAGAAACTACAACGAAAGACAACAGAAATGTGCTACACGTATCAGAGGAGACAACTGACTAATTGTCCTGGATGGGGTGCCCTCCCAGCTGTAAAGTAGAATACTGTAACTGCTGGCACAGCAAACTACTTCTGAGTAAAACAGTAGGCACTCCAGCTGAACCGGGACAACTCCATATTCAGCATCAAAAAGCATCAGCAGAGAAAGCAGCTTTTAACATGTTCCATTAGGACAGCAGGAGTCTAACCAGGGAACATGGTAATCACACACAGATACTGGCTGGTCTGTGTCTGTGGGCCTGGGCTGCCGATACCTCGGTGTCGATGACATCTGTGATGTAGCGGGGGGTGAGAAGTGGCATGCGCACATACTGCAGCAGTTCTGGCAGCGATGCTTCTCGTTCTTTTTTTGAGTGCTTCACCCAGTTTATAACTGCCTCAAAAACTGGCTCTTCAGAGTCCACCTGGAAAGAGGAGGCACACACTGATAGGACTGCAGGATAATATTTCAGCTACTGCCACGGAACAACTTCCAGGCTGTTGACACTGCTTCACAGCTAGCAAGAGAGCAGGACATCTCAAGTAAGAGTCTGTTACGGAAATTCCCACAATCTGTATATACAAGCACTATGAAATTATCTCATTTTCTTTTCCTTAAAACTGCATTTGTTTTTTCCTTGCAGCCGAGACCAACAACTGGCAGTATGAGTGCCAGAAAATTGAACCATAAGTACACAGCAGAGCCAGCTCTGTTGAGAGCACGCAGGGACAGGCAGTAACTCGCAGGGCAGGAGTTACAGTCCTGCAAAATGCGAAGTACCATCATAAAGATGATCAGAATCAAACTCCTTTTTATGGAGCAGTGTCTTCCTTAACCCTCTGCAGCCCCATGCCCACACACTGCCCCTTTAACACCTGAGCCATACTAGGTACGTTTAAGTGTTTTTTAAATTTCAATCCACATTTAAGAAACTATAAACAACTGGATTTCAGAGTGGAGAACCCCAGGGCAAGAATGTTACTGTTTATTGCTACAGTTTAGCTTATTTTGTGGCTAGTTTATTTCTCTCTCCATTTTGGACCAGCACATGCTTACACCACTTCCAGAGATTACACTGACTAAACCATCTACATTTGATACTTTTAGAGAACCTCAGGTGCTTTGGACATCATCTATGATTGCCAGAAGTGAAAGATTTGTAAAAAGCTCTATAGTATATTATTTACACTTCGTTTTCTTTTTGCACATCTTCAGATCATCCAACATAAAAGCAAATCAGACATGAATTTATTATCATGAGGTCTGTTAACTGTTATTAAAAATGAAGATAAAAGGGGATACTGTAATAAGAGCCTTCCCACCGATACATGACTGGTCCACTTTTAAGTTCAGTTTGAAGCTGCCTGTTGCAGAATGTTCTGAAGCAGGGAGCCACAGAAGTTAATTATGTAAGGCAATTCTTCCAAGCCATTGATTTATACTTGTTACAGTGTAATCTGAAATGGCCTCTTTCTATTTAAATTACAGGGAAAGGACAATTAGAGCTCACAAAAGGAAAGCAAAGTACTTTATTGTTTCCAATTTTCCCCACCTCCTCCCTAAATGCAATAATCCCACATTGTTTTATTCCCTCCTGAACCGACTATCCTCTGATATATTTAAGTTTTGTTGTTCATAAAATAATCTCTGTTTTCTGATATATGATGAGTAACACTAAACACAGCCATCACAGTGAGGAGCTGCGATTATACTTCTCAAACAGCCAGAGGATTTTCCAAGGGTGCTCCCTCAGTACCCTCCAACACAGCACATCACCTCTGCACTGGCACAACAGCTAGATTTGCTCCCTTCACCTTCTTAAGGTATTACAATGAATGCACACCTCACTGAATCAGTCCTTCCAATCCACAGTGAATTTTACTTCGCCTGTGCATATCATCTGATTAGTTTGGCTGGGTCATTCTCAAGTTCCTCATTATTTCCTCTTCACTGTCCAGAAGCGTTATGTCAGTACTCACCACAACCCACATAAGCTCAAGCCCTCACAGCATTAAAGCTGCAGCTTGTTAAACACCAAACACACTCAGCCTTTCTCCACTGCTGATATTGGCCTCTACCAGGGTCTTTCATTGCTATCTTGCACGCTCTTTCTCAAGCAGGCTTATTAACAAAAGGATGTCTGCTTGGCTGAAGGCCACTTTCAAGGCAGACTTTCAAGGCAGACTTTCACATTTTGGAATACAAATTCTCCTCTGGCTACCCCTATATTGGCTTTTCAGGAATTTCACCAAATATATCACTTACAATGGTTTGCTACTAAGAGTTCGTGTTACTGTGAACTCCGAACAGTGATTGCTTCAATTACTTCTTTTAGAACTGAAGCAAACATCAACTCTCGACAAAGTCCATCTCAAGAAAAAAATCAAGTCCCCCTCCCCATTACCAAGGAATGTTCAACTTATTCACAGAAAATTTGAAAAAAAGTATTTGACAAGTTCCAGCAAAATAGTAACTCCTTCAGAAAACCAACCTTAAGAGAACTAAATCTGCATATAACTCCCTGAAGAGTCAGACTACCCTACACCATCATGCATTCTGCTGCTTGTAAAAGTAGAGGACACCCAAATGCCTGGGCTGACACATGCATTCTTTGCGCTGCTGAGGAGCATGCAAAGGTCTACAAATAGAAGTTGAAGTCTTGGTGGTATTTCTGAGATGTAGGCATTGAGACAACTTGTCTTCGTAACCTCCCAAAGTTCCTCCAGGGAAAGGAGGAGACAATGGAGTAAGAACTCTGCAGAGGTAACTGTGATTGTCTTACTTGCAAGAAACATTTGTGTGACAATAAATTTTTACGTAGAAGCTACATGCTACTGATCAATTTCAGATCACATGGCTACAAAGTTAGAATAAGATTCTTGGAAATTAAATTTCAAATTCAGGCATTCTGAGAGAAGTCCACCCTAGAAGCATGGACTAATTTCTGACTGGTTTCAGTGTCATGTCAATGCTTTCCACAGTAATGGTACTTTTCAGGTTTTACCTGAATTTCATCACACTTGATGAGCTTTTCAACCTCTTCTTGATTTAAGAGGATAAACTCTTCATGCTGAACCACCTCTGGAAAATGTTTCTGGCTGAAGACCTCTGCAGCTTGCATTAGATCAACACAATTGTGTGTCTCAGCAAAATCCCGAATGCCCAAACAATTTGATGGATCCAGCTGGCTTTCCAGAAACTCACAGCAAGCTTGTTTCACACCTAGGGAAAATTGGAGGGGTGAATGAGCACTGCATGCTTACTAGCAAACCACTGCTTTGGAAAGGGCTTCAGAAAAGAAAGTTCTAAACAATAACAAAAATCCAACTCAAATAACAAGCTTAAAAATACTACAGAAACAAACATGCAAATATTTCTTTGGACACGAAAACACTAAGCAGTAGACCACGTGTTTGGGCTGTTTTGATCTCCGGGTATTCTGTTTGAATGCAAAAATTAAATAAACCTGATACTAGGAAAAGACTCAAATGTGAGTTGCACTCAGCTTCATGGATTATAAACAAAAAATGTGTATGCTGGTGGATATGGCTACCACATTTCTAGATTTTCTCCAATGTCTTTTTGATAGTTGCCTGGGATTTGGGATAATTGCCTGGGATAGCTCCACAGTGCATATGCAATGACATCAAAGACTTTGTTAACAACCGAGATATACTATGATGGCTGGTCAAATGACATCTAGGATTTGCTTATTACTATAACTTGACTGAGCTGTAACATGTACGTGCTATACAGTCCACAATTTTTCTTGAGAATTCTCATGCAGAAATACAGCAGCCCAAAGCATGGAACAATAACCCGTTTTATCATCTTTTCTTCCACCCAAGTCAGTTCCTCTACTAATGAGACCACAGCACACAAGACAACACAAGTTTGACATCAGTACTTGTAAGTATCATGCCTTCCACAATCTGTCGTCCATTTACAGAAGGTCAGACAAATCAAATCTCTAAGCAGCAGCAATTGTGCAATTTGTGCTGATACTTAGCAATTACCTTTCAGCTGAAGCAGACATGCTGCTGGGAGCAATTCTTGGACGTTTTCTACTGTCACGTGAACAGTTTCTGTATACACAAAGTCTAGCAGGATTTCCATGGTGGAGGCTGTCAGTCCCTGGATATCTACATAGGGTTTATCTTTCTCTGAGAGCTGTAAATTAGAAGGAAGACAAAGGTTTATTTTTCAGTAATGCGATCAAAAAGCCAAGAACACTCAGCAGTTTTTTAAAATGTGATCTGTCAGAGAGGCTTCAGCAGAGATTTGTCCTTTCTCTTCTTGTGCTTACTGAAAGAATAAGGGGAAGGAGGGAATTTCCCAACAGAATTCACTTACAGGGTGAGTAAAAGAGACAAAGTTCATTATGGATTGGGAGACAGTCAAACTGCATTGTAAAATGAGCAAGCTGAGATTAGAGGTAGCAGAAATTACAGGCATCATTTGTGCAAGACAACTAAACTTTCTCCTCCATGCAGTAACTCCAAGCTTTACTACAAGGAACAGTCCAGCGGGATTCCTCCGTGGGCTGGATTTGTATGACACACTGCAATTTACATGGAATCCCCACCTCACCACTCTGCTCTAAAACCAGATAAATATCTTTCCTAATTGTTCAATTCCTGATCCATTCTGCAAGCTTACGGTGAAGGTTCCTAAAAAGAATGACTATTTATCTGAGCCAGAAAGCTCAGATTAAAGGTTAAATGCAGGTTCAGCTTAAAGATTTGAACGTAAAATGATAGTACATACAGCAATAGTACTTACACAATCGTGACTTGGTCCCCTGCCCATTTTATCACCTCTAAGATACATCATTTTGGAATAATTATTTTTTCCAAGCAATGTTACCCTCTCAGTCAATCTTTGGGAACAGTAAATTCTGCAAATCCACCAAATTTGCACCTCTATAGGTACAAAACTGAGATTACCTTTCACAAAGCATCAGCTTTATGGTTCAATGCATCCATCACGAAGCTGCTGGCACAGCATCTGATGATTCATGAACAATGGGCTAGCAGGTGGACTCCCTAATCACATCCTGCACATAGCTGCAAGCTCGTCAGCATGAATGGACCTCAACAGACAGATGTCTCCATGCAGCGCACTGCAAAACCAACCTTTTTTTCCCATGACTTTTGAAGAAGTAGTCAGTATCAGTGCAAGCACGATTCAGATGAAAGCCCACGACTTTTCTTGCCAAGAATGAGCCTGAAGTTGGTTACAGACAGATTGAGCAGAGACTCAGTGAACAGAAAGCATGATCAAAGCATGATCACTTGGCTTAGAATTTGCTACAGTTGGGGAAAAAGGAGGTAATACAGAAGTAGAGAAAATAAGAGCAGTCAAGGATATTCCTGCAGAGGCATTTGATGACACAGCAGCAGAAGGGAAGAAATGTCTCTGCTGAGACTGAGCCATTTCTATGATACAGAGGGACACGCTTCACAGTAGAGAAACACAGGAGGTAATGGAAGTAATTTGAGGGAAGAGGCCTTTCAAGTCTGTTGACACAGTGAACAAACTTTATGGCATCCAGAGTCAGAAAGGAACAGCAAATTACCTTGTCTGACCTGCTGTATGGCAAGGCCATGCATTGCATTTAGAAGCTAAAATAAGTTCCTAACTTGGACTAGAAAAAAACATTCCCAAAACAAGACTAAGCTTTTGGGTACAACAGATAAAGGACACAGATGTCACCAAAGGTCATAACTGATCAGATAAGATGTTCATATGATTCCAACAAGCAAATGGAGATTTAGACCACACAAACTTAGAAGAAAGAGGGTAAGAAGTTACAAACATCTATTGACATGAGATTACAAGCGCACCAGACCTCCTGGTAATGTATTACTCTGCATCCGGTAGAAGCTGTAGACATCTGCTCTTCACAGATCGGCCTGGAGCTGGTAAAGAAGCTCCTGTCCCCACAACCAATATTCAATAATAAATAATCAGCCATGCACTATTCTCTTTATATCGTTGACCAAAAAAACCATGGGAACAACACTTGTACTAGAGATGATCACTGCCTGCTTCCCTTGTACTTCTGCTACACTCCACTGCTTGGTTGTTGTTTGTCTCACAGTTTACTCATGTGCTACGATGGCTTGGAAGGAAGAAAATATTTCAAGTAACTTCACACAATGTATGTGATGCAGAAAAAGTTGGGATCCTAGCATCATACCTTAAAGGAGGGTCTCAGAATGGAGACAACTTGATTCTGAACATCCCATGAAGACTCTGAATGCAACTCCAGACTGCATATGCAGTGTTAGAGAACTGTATACAGTGCTTAGTGCTGTGCTGTTGGGACAGAGTCCCTCTTTTATGAATACATCCACATATTTGGACTCAGAAGAAATGCAAAATTATGGTCGTACAATGCTCATAAAGACCCAGTACAAGCAGTTTTCCTTTCACAGGTGTTTAGTGGCATAAGACATATCTCTCCATCTCTGCTGTTAGAATTTCAGATTAGCTTCTCCCTCTGTTGTTTAATATCAGAGTTCTGCTAGCCAGCAGGAAGTAAAGCAGTAAGGGACTGATACTCCCTAGTACAAGTACATTTTTAACACGTCATAAAAAGTAGGCAGCAGTATAGATCCAGAAATCGACTGAGGCATCCAGGAAAACAACACTCCCATAATTAAGGGGAGTCACTTGGAAACATCAGGAGTTTTACCCCAGGATGCCTAAGTTTCTGAAAGCCTTAAGGCAGGGGCTGCAGGTCATAGCTCTGTTATGAAACATGATGTTGCTATCTCCTGTTCCATCCATCCATACATACATACATCATGCCACTCACTCTCCAGGACAATGGGCCTAGAATTTTGGAACCACTTTCTTATGCAAGGCCACTTCTTGTTTCTGTCTTCACTTATGCAGATACACAAAAGTATACTGTAGTAAAACCCTCCAATTTCTTCTCACCTATAGTGGAAACAAAATGCTGGCATGACAGTGCTAATATGTGGCTCACTGCATTCTGGAAGGCGTTCACAGTACAGGGAAGATGACCATGTAAGAACCTAGAAACAGAAGCTGTTTATTTTCAGAATAAGAATAATATTTCTCTACATTCTAGGGGAAAAAAGCCCTTCAATTTCTAAAACGTATCCTCCAAGAGAAGAAAGACTAGTTTCTTTCTGAGGTAGAGCCAATGATCAGCTCTTAACACATCCCAAGTTATGCTAACTTGTCCAAACAAAGACAGAAATGCCAGTGCACAACTAGGATCCAGGGGAGCATTTGCTAAAACTGCTTTTCAATTTTCACTACAAGCAAGAACCCTCTAAGTAAAGGGCATTTCAGTTTTCCCACACTACTCAGCACAGGGGCACAGAAAAGTGTTGCCAAAAGCCAGGGGTTCAACAGGTGATCGGTGGTGGCTTCTCAGTCTGGAAAATGGGAACAGAAAACAGGAAGAAATTAATACTATGGCAGACTGAGTACATGTTAAAGTCAGAAGTAAGAGAAGGAAGGAAATTAGAGACACATGGATTGGCAAACACGGTTCTTTATGAAGCTAATCTCTGATGACAGTCTCAGTGCTACACTGGCCACACAGAGATGTAGCATCATGAATGACAGTGGGCATAACCCAGGGATCAGTTCTGAACAAAGCGTTGTGTAGCCCGAGTCTGACAAAAGCCACACATTACAGCTAGCCAAGTAGTCCCCAGATTCGCAGGAGGCGAGCGATGAAATGCAAAGAAAGCCCTTGCAGAGACTGTTAGTTATGCAATAGGGCATTCTGAGTTCCCTCAAGTTACAGCCATGGCCAAAACACTCTGTACCCGCAAGTGTTTGGACAGCAACCAAATGCTGTCCCATTACACTTGCCAACATACTTGTCATTGGCACACATAGGAAGCAGGTCCACTTTGAGGCTTACCAAACTGTCATTTCCTGGAAAGAACGCTCTCCCACAAACACTCAATAATTGTGTGTGCCACTTGGCAGGTTTGTCATTTTGGGGTTTCCAATGAAAAAACAAATTTGGAAGAAATACAAACTAAGCAAAAGAAGTAAAACCCTTAAAGCAGCTTTGGGAGCATGAGAGAGTGAGCAATCATGCCCACTGGGCACTGGATGCACTTATTTTTCTAGGAAGAATTACATCTATGAATTAAAGTCACTACAATGTTACAGTTAAAATGAGAGTATAAAGAAGGAATGAGAGATGATCCAAAGTATACCAATCCTCAGCCTTTGTTAGGAGCCACAAAGAACATTCTGTAGCACACAAAGTTATTGGATCTCTGTAGACTGCCTACATAAAGTCCAGGAAGTCAAAAGCATTGACAGGAATGTAGAGGCAAACTCAAAGAAGCAGAGACAGTCTGCTATACACCTTGAAGCTACTGGTAAACAGTGTACTTCAGCCTCCAGAGACTGAATTTGCTTTGTGTATTATTTCTTTAAATTATTTATTTCTTTTACACAGAGAAAGAGCATAAACCTGACATTTACAAATTTCATGAAGATGTGGATTGAAAATATATTGGTATGTGGTCAGTCCACATATGTTCTTTTTTGGTTGCTTTGCACAGGATTATAAAAACTGAGACACCCGCTCACCCGACACAGCACTGAAAGAGCAGGCACGCAGACAGTTCTGCCAGCAGTGTTCATTGCTTGATAAAACAAAGAAGAAAATTCTTCTCTCCTGCAAGGACTACTGGGCTAGCAGGGAGGTCTTTAGGACCTTTGAGCTACTTAGTAATTCTTCTTCATGTAAATGGGGCAGTTGTTAGGATAAGGAAAGCATCTTCTGTAAGAAAAAGCCACAAAGATTGATTCAAACTTATAAAAGACAAAGCCAGGCAAAGAATCTCATTTCACAATGCAAATGACTGCTAGCTGTAGCTCAAGCATTACCTTTCAGTGATTCAGAAAAATAGCATGCAGGTAGTACAAGTCCATGCAGTAAGTACTGTGAGAGCAAAGGTGAGAGATTTGCCAAGCGAGATTTGCCAGGTACAGCAACAGGGGGTCTTGCCCCGCAAACCCAGTGCTAGAGGTTACATCCTCTTCACAAGAGCAACAGCACAACCCAACTGGTACCTGCTGATCAGCCAGTGCGAAACAAAGACCAGAACATGAGTTAAATACCCTTAATTTCAGCTTTAAAGGGCTGCCTTAATTCAACACCCAGCCTAAGACACACACCATGGCTCACACAGCTTTGCTCTAGGGCTGGTACCCTTGGCAAGGAAGATGCCCAGAAGTATGAAGACCATAAACCACCACTAGAAAAATCAGTAAATGTATCAGAGCCTTCCCATTTGCCATTTCAGCCTGGCAGCTCACTGGTGCACTGGTTGGTCACACAGCAACAATGATTCAGGACCACAGTCCCAACTGCTGTCTCTAACCCCCACCTTGCCATGATAGAGAGCTCTGGGGCCACCATGAGGAGACCTAGAACCACCACAAAGGGATCAAAGGCCAAGAGAAGAGGATCCAGAGGGCTCCAGGGCCACCATTATGGAATCCTGGGCCATCACAAGGGGCTCTAGAGAGACCCAGGGCCACCATGGGGGGACCTAGAACCACCATGGGGGGGTCCAAGCCCAGCTGCTGAGCAGCCTGACAGAGAGCAGCCCGAGCATTGGGTGGCCCTGCCTTCTCTCCCCACAGAGCACCCAGGGCCAGCAGCAGCCTGCAGTGTCGGGGTGCACCGACCTCGCTGGTGAACATGGCGCAGAAGTAGTCACTGCAGGCGGCCAAGACGATGCGGTGGGCCGGGAAGTCCTTGTGCTCCACGCGGAGGGTGACGTCGCAGAGCGTGTTGCTCTTCCGCAGGGCGTTCATGGCGTTGAGGATGGACTTGGCGTGCGAGTTGGTCATGATGTCCTTGGGGGGGGCCATGGCGCCCGGCACCTGCGGGCACAGCC